GGCGGCTGTTTACTATTGCAGCTGCTTCATAGAGAAAGGTTCTGAGCGATGAATCGGTGAGTCGTCTCTTTGCGAGAGCAAGTGTGGCGTTGAGGACGTTTCTCACAGTCCGAATTTGTCGTTCCCATACTCCACCTGCGTGGCTTTTGTTTTCTTTTCTTGCTTGTTTGGTTAGGAACAGGCCGAAAACATCCATACCACAGTATGTGAAAGGCGGAGAGTGTTCAACTCTTTCTGTGGGGAGATCTTTCATTTTTTGTCCTTCCACAGCTCTCCTTAGTCTCCGACATGTCACACACTGACGGATGTAGTCTGATACTGTTTGACTTAGCTTGGGAATCCAATAACCGCTGGACCGTATTTCGTTCATTGTGAAGCTCTTTCCTTGATGATTTATTATTTCGTGACAGTGAGCGATTGAGTTTTGTAATTTGATGGTCTCTTGGAATGACAGTTGGATGTTTGAATGTGTTAGGAAGCGATGAGTGTTGTAGCCTTCCTCCCACCTTGAGCACATTGTCTTCGTCCAAGAAAGGATCCAAGTTATACATTTTGTTGCTCTCATGTAGTGCCTTTACCTCATCTTTATCTCTTTATCTTTAAAGAGATAAAGATCTTTATCTCATCTGAAAATGTTAGTCCGTGTAGGGTTTTGATAATCACCATTTCAGCGTTTTGTCTTTCAGTTACAGTGCTGCGTGACTTTGATTTGTCTCTGAGTAGGAAACGTTTGAGACGTGCTATGGCACTGACAGCGTGTGACCAGGATGAGAACTTTGTGAGACGGTCACAGAGACTTCTGTGTTCTGTAGTTTGGCTGCTGAGTGTTTGCCCTTTTCTCACCTCTGGGTCTCCCATCAAAAATTCAATAGACTCTTTAGTTGGAAGATTTAACTTCCTTTCCCATAAGAACTGTTGGCCTGTGAGCCAGTTTGATGATAGCAGTTCCGCTACTGATGTGCTCCTTGATGTTATGTCAGCAGGGGTTTCACTCGTCGGTAGATAGAACCATTGCTGTGGTGTAGTATTGTTTTGTGTCTCGCCTTCAGGTCCATTATCATCAGTCTCTTCAGCATCACCCCTTTGTATAATGTCATTCACGCATGTGACATAGCCTCTTTTGTATTTTTCATCACGCATTGGTTTACATTTGAGCTGATTGAGTCTGCTCTCGGCGAGTTGTCTGTTATCTGGCATTTGTAGCCTTTCTTTAAATGGCAATGGCATTTCATAATGTCCCTTTTCTGTTTGTGCTATGCCTTGTTCAAGTTTCTCAAGAAACCTAAGGTCGTCTTGAAACACCATCTTTTCGTTTATTTCGTTTTCTTTAAAGTCCTTTTCTAGTGCACGTATTGCATCTGCGGGAGTACATGGAGAAATTTCTTTAACAGTTATTCTGACAGAGACTCCTTGTTGTCTCTGATGCATTGCATGGCACTGAGTTGCCAACTATGCTCCATCCTAAATCAGTTTGGATGGCATATGGCTCATTGGCTTTACCTAAGAGTACTTGTCTGGGCGCCAGAGCTTGGGGACAAGTATAACCAATCAGGAGACTCACCTCACAACTGAGGAGCGGTGGGATCTCATCTACAATACAC